GGTAATATTTGTTGATCTTAACGACATTTTATGGAACTAACATAGCCACCCCCCACCCAGCTGTCTTTGGATTCATGTTGGCATAAAATTAGGTATTCTTTTTTTATCCAATCTGATAATATCTACCTTTTGTGATGTTTAGACCATTTTCATAAATATGATTGGATTAAAATCTTACCTGCTTCATAGTTGTTCGCATGAACTTTGTTCTTTCCTTTTCTCACTATTTTTGGATTGAGTTCTGTCTTTTTAAAATTATTTCTGGCCGGGCATGGTGGTGGCTCACGCCTGTAATCCCAGCACTTTGAGAGGCCGAGGCGGGCGGATCATGGTAAAACCCCATCTTTACAAAAAAATACAAAAATTAGCCAGGCCTGGTGGTGCAGGCCTGTAATCCCAGTCACTCGGGAGGCTGAGGTATCTCTTCAACCAGGAGGTGGAGGTTGCAGTGAGCTAAGATCACACCACTGCACTCCAGCAGGAATAACAAAGCGAGGCTCCCTCTCACAAAAAAAATAAAATAAAATAAAATAAATTCCACCTTATTGACTAATTAGCTGTACTTCATTTTCTTTTTCAGTCTTAGTAATTGCTAGGATTTATAATATACAGTAAATAGGCCAGGCGCGGTGGCTTACACCTGTAATCCCAGCATTTTTGGAGGCCGAGGTGGGCAGATCACCTAAGGTCAGGAGTTCAAGACCAGACTGACCAACATGGAGAAACTCCGTCTCTACTAAAAATACAAAAAAAAAATAGCAGGGCCTGTTGGCGCATGCCTGTAATCCCAGCTACTCGGGAGGCTGAGACAGGATAATCGCTTGAACCTGGGAGGTGGAAGTTGCAATGAGCTGAGATCATGCCATTGCACTCCAGCCTGGGCAACAAGAGTGAAACTCTACCAAAAAAAAAAAAAAAAACCCGCAATAATAATATACAGTTAATCTTCAAATAAGATTATGCTACTTCACATAGAGCGTTAAGAATGTTGCAGGCCGGGAGTGATGGCTCACGCCTGTAATCCCAACACTTTGGGAGGCTGAGGCAGGTGGATCATGAAGTCAAGAGATCGAGACCATCCTGGCCAACATGGTGAAACCCTGTCTCTATTAAAAACACAAAAATTAGCTGGGCGTGGTGGCATGCACCTGTAGGGTTTTGTTTTTTCCCAGAGAGCAGTAAATTATGGCGAGAAGCCCCATGCCCAGCATGGTGCCAGAGAGATGGACTAAAGGGTCCAGATACAAAAGCTCACTCAGCTCAGCATAGTTAGGCAGCAAATAAGTTGATTTAGAACTGGCAGTTACTCCAAGTTCCAATAAGGGGTAAGATGGAACACATCAGTGGATACAAAAAGCAATACAAATTCAGCAGATGGAAAGGCAAACATATGAGCAGGTATTTATAGAAAAAATGGCATATCCAAGACCCAGCAAAGGGCAAACAAGGACCAGGCATACTTCTAACACTTGGCTGTTATGTCAACACTTTTGTATATAGGTATCATGTAGAAAGAAAGAATAAATGGGACAATCTCTGAGTTGACTGAGAACACTTTCTTGAGTTAACTGACAGAAAACTTTGAATTGGCTATTTTTTCCTAAAATAAGTTGACATGAGGAAAGAAAACCCAGATAAAAATTGAGTTTAGAAATCACAATAATAAAACTGGTGTTACAAAACTGGTGGTACAAAAGCAAAAAAAAAAAAAAACGGTGGAATTCTACTTTTAAAAGATAGAAACACACACGTCGTATGCTCAAAAAAATTAGCAGACCTACCATGTACCAGAAAGATTAAAAAATAAAAATTTGCAGTGATAATCTTTGCAGAATGAGACTATAAGTGACTTTTTTTCTATCCTTCTATTTAAAATAAAAATATTTGATTTCTCCCTGGAAGTTTTCTTTTTTTATTTTAATGTATTTATGGGTTAGAACATGGCCAAGGTGTGGATAAAAGAAACTTTTGAGCTTACAGTTTCAGCTAGCATTGTCAGGTTGGTGGGGAAAGAAGTTTATTCTGTCTCAAAACCTTCCCCCCTCCCTGAGAGAGAATCTCGTCTGTCGCCCAGGATGGACTGGTGTGATCTCGGCTCACTGCAACCTCAGCTTCCCAGGTTCAAGTAATTCTCCTCTTCAGCCTCCAGAGTAGCTGGGGTTACAGGTGCACACCATCATGCCCAGCTCATTTTTGTATTTGTAGTACAGAAGGGTTTTTGCCATGTTGGCCAGGTTGGTCCGGCCTCAAATGATCTGCCTGCCTCAGCCTCCCAAAGTGCTGGAATTACAGGTATGAGCCACCATGCCCAGCTAATGCCTCAAAACTTTTTAAAACATTTTCTTTAGTTTTTTGGGGTTTTTTTTTTGTTTTTTTTTTATGTGTGTGTGTGACTCTAGCCAAAGATAATGTCTCAAAACACTTGCTAAAGTGAATGCCTTAAATTAAATGGCCAAATGTTTACATTCTCAGGAAGGAAAGGAGTTATGGAGGGATTTGCAGGGGTCACCATTTCAAAGTACCCAGTACCAGACCATACTAAACCTGGCTAAAAGCATCCAGAGTAAGTGTTGTTTAATGCTCAGTCCATGTTCAGGGGAAAAACAGTTATTACTGATTCTACTAAATGTTGAATGCAAGGCCAGCAACTATAGGAAGTATAAAAGCATTATGCTTCTGTGTTGAGGAAATTTATTATCTAGTTGAGAAAATAACAGAGTGCTAAAACTGCAAGTGAAAAGGCTACAGAAATCCAGAGAGGAGCATCAATTAAAGAAAGGTAGAGAAAGCAACAGAACTGGTTGGCAAATGATATGTTTCAGGAATAATTTACTGCTCTCTGACACATATGGAAAGGCGAGGCATATGGAAAATGGGAGAGAAAAAGTGGTCTCTTCCTAGACAGCAAAATGAGGAAATATTGAGCAGGAAATTTACGAGATTCACAAATTCCAAAAAGTTCAGAGAACAACTGAAATGACTGAAATGAACGTTGGTTTTGGAACAAGTTAGGCTGGACTCAAATCCCAACTCTGCCTCCCTAATAGGTAGATGCCCTTGAATAAGCTTACTCCCCCCGTGAAATGTTTCTCCCAGTTTGTGACTTGTCTTCTCATTCTTGTCATTGTCTCTTGACATTGAGCATTACTTTTAAATATTAATGAAGCCTAATTTCTTTCTTTCTTTCTTTTTTTAAATAGATCAGCCTAGCTGGCTGCTGAGCAGAAACTCCCCTCAGTTCCTTGCTGTGTGGGCTTTCCCAACATGGTAATTTGCTTCATCAAAGTCAGCAAGGGAGATAGTCTGCTAGCAAGAAGTGACATACCCATAACGATGATTAGAAGGAATTTTCTCAAGGGGAAGGCATTACAAAATGTTATAAACATCAAGAGGCACAGGAGTCATCGGGGGTCATCTTAGAGGCATGTTCTTTACACATCTTAAACAGACTAAGGTTTATTTCAGGGGGCTGAGGGAACCTAGACCATCCAAGTTTTTGGCCATGAGTGTCCCCAAAAGTATAGGAATTATTCTTGGTCAGAAATGTTTTCTAAGCTGTGAAAACATCTACCTAAATATGGGATTATTATAAGAATTAAATAACATAAGGTGTAAGATTGAATCACACTAAGTTGCAGTTTGTATAAGTAAACAACAGTTAAATATCAGCAATTTCATATGGTTCTTAAAGAACATACAGTCTGTCGTGTGGTAGGTACTCAATATTTGCTGAACTACACTACCTTATTCCATGAAGGAAATGAACTTCATTTAAAAAGAAAAATCTTACCAGAGGGCACCATGTTTTCTGTACAGCTCTTAAAGGTCTAAATTTACATACTGGCTCAGTCACTTACTAGTGGAGTGGCATCAAATCAGTTACTTAACCTTTCTAAAGTGTGTAAAGTGAAGATACTTACCTATTCTGTTCATGATTCTTTACAGGACTAAAACACTCTCACAGGGTAGGTTATCAGATTGTAACTAATATTAAGATTTGTAAGAAGTATTTGACATAAACCAATTAGAATAAAATCAAGAACATGAAACCAACTCTAAACTAAAACTTGAGGAAAATGCTGAGGTTGACAAAGTAGGTTCGCAAAACAAATGAGCACAGCTGTACCCAATTTTCATAGTGGTCCTAAGGGATTCTAGTAGTTACCCAAAAAAAAATTTTTTTTAATTTTGCATTTTCAAAAGCTGTAGTTTTGAATCACAGCAGCTTTCACTGAACTGTGTAGGACTTTCACATATATAATCTCTAAGCATTTGTATAATTTGTATTATATGTTACATGGCCTAAGCATCATCCATGAAGTTGACCACTCTGTTTATACATTTAAACTTAAGGTAATGATTCTAAAACTTTTATTCTGGGACATATTCTTTCTTGCTTTCCTCCTACATCCACAACATTTACCACATAAAAGGGTTTGTGGTGTTACTTTTAATAATATATTCTACAATCCTACCCTGAGCTAAAAAAAAATTTGTACAGATCACATAATCTCTGAAGAGTTTCCCGGGAAGAATTTAGCTAAACAATTCCTGATGAATGGTGATCTCCCCTTTTCTTCACCAAAATTTCTCATGACTCTGTGATTTTACGTTCCTGAAGTTGCATGAGTTAAGTTTTTTCCAGGGTCCAGACTCATTAATGTGTGTTTAAAACTATCCATCTAATCTTTATCATATCATATCATATCTATCTATCTATCTATCTATCTATCTATCTATCTATCTATCTATCTATCTATCTATCTATGTTTTTGTAGAGATGGGGTCTCACTTTGTTCTCCAGACTGGTCTTGAACTCCTGGCCTCAATTGATCTTCCCACCTCAGTCTCCTAAACTGTTGATATCACAGATGTAAGCCACCGCACTTGGCCTAAAACTATTGACTAAAACAGAAAACAGCTCCTCACCATCACATAGAGTATGCTCCTTCTCAAATATAAAGATACAGTCAACTCTTTTAGATTCAACGTTTTTTTACTTAACTTTTCCTCCAAATCCAATTTCCTCAAATCGACGTTCATGTCTGCCACTTACCTTGAACTTTTTCTCCTCTTTTATGTTTGGGGTCCAAAATCAAGAACAATACTCTAGAAAGACTTACAATGATGAGTATGTGTGCGAATGCCGCAAAACACTGTTAGGACAAGCAATTCCCCTCCCCTCACATACTGTATGTATAATGCCGGATTATTACCCTCAGCAAGTACATGGCAGTTAGCAGTCTTTCTATTTCCAAGAGTTATTTATCATGAGAACTCATTGATTTTCATGAATGAAAGTACATCATAGATAGAGATGATCAACCTATCATTAGTTTTTCAATGGTTTAGTAAATGTTGTTGGTCAACCATTCTACAGATCTAATTCATCCAAAAATAGTATTTAAAAAACAATGACTTTTTTCTTAAAAAGAGGGAGAAGACATTGGTTGAAAATAACAACAAAATGGAAGAAGCTGCAACCTTTCTGTTGACATCTGATTAAATAAACTCAGATTGAAGTTTTTTTTTTTTAAAGGCCTGTATAATTTGCCCTACTATATACAAAGGAACCTCATTCAAGAAGAAACTAAAAAAAAAAAAATTTTATTAACAATTTGTTGGTGAAAAAGAAAACAATGTCTTTACATACATGTTTACAAAATACTTCTATAAAATAATTGTTTTCCTTTCCTTTTAAAAGTTTTTTTTCATTTAGCAAAAGATTAAAACATTATTTACCACAAGCAATGAAACCCAGCACTTTTATATAAATGGTTTTATCTTCCCTTCACCCGTTTCCTTAAATTCAATACTCTTACAGGCTACCTAAGTTGATAATAACATTTAGAAGGATGAGCATGTAGTATAATTAATGGTAGAACTGTTGTGTTAGGTGATAACGCTAAAGTTATAAGTGCTACTTGAGAATATAAAGGATCTGGAGGATTTTTTAGGGTGTGGGAACATAAAGCATTCTAGAATATCACAACCAAGGGAGAAAATGCCCAACACCATCCCTGCACTCAAACATGGGACTGCTAGGTCAGAGTATTCAATCAATTAAGCTACAGTTTCCATTTTTAAGTTATGGCAAAGGATATTAAAGAATGAAGAGATTATTTGCTATCAGAAGCTACAGACTTAGAGCTAGCTTAAAAAGCGAAAACCCAAGTTCCTCTCAGGTAAGCAACAATTCGTCAAGACTATAAAGCAGGCTTTTGTTATTGCTTCTAATACATAGAAGGGAAAATGCGAGAGAGAAAAGGAGGATGGAAACAGACTGGTGTCTTCTATCTTCATTAGTATCTTTTATCTTAGATAAAATATCTTTTTCAATGACACCAGGTAATAAGTATTGCAGAATTTTAACCAGTAATACTACTATTGAAATATCTGTGTCAATTAACTTAAAACAGGGAGACAGGCAAGATATATCTTTGCATTTACTGCTATAGTTCCCAAATACACAGAGATCATTAAAATATACAGTATCTTTTCCCAGGGATAACCAATTTAATTTATGTTCAATAGTTTAGAGTTTTAAAAAGTATTTTGGCTATTCGTATTAATTTTTGTCTTATATATTTCCATTTATGAACCTCATTATCTTCATTTAACAGAACATTATTTTTCATTGAACATGACGAAATTCCCATGATCAAAAATTTCAATGTCTTTTTTAAAAACAATCCATCTGTTACTTTCCTGAGAGTGTTCCTCAGCTGATTTGCAAATGAGTACAAAACTTGGTAAAGGTCTGTCATTTTATTCTTTCATATTGAGCACTGCAAGCTCTGTTATGCGAGAAGTAAAGTATCCCCATCATAATACTGTTCATCTTGGGCAGAAATACTCAAGTTTGTTGAAAATAACTCCACTTTCAAATATTAGTTATCCTAAATTTGTACAGACGGTGGTGGCAATGTTACCACTAAAAACAAGTGTGGGGGTTTGGGGGGAAAGAACTGGGTTGAAGCTGGTAAGAACAGCTAAAGATTCTAACCAACAAGCTTTCTGTTACCACATATTATTGAAATTACTATAAAATTACTGCTAAACAATATTTTTCTAAAGCCATTTTGTCACATGAGTTGGGCACAGAAACCTCAAGCTATTACGTATGGACAAACGTTTCTTCGGTTTAAAAAGGTGAAATTCCAAGGAAAAACAAAAGAACATCTGTACCATATAAAAGCAGATATCACACACTGAACCAAAGTGCCTTTCAAGTAATAAACTAGTAATGACTTAAATACCACATATTTACCTACGTTTCTATCATGTAAAAATTAATTTAAGTCTCCATTTAAAAAATAAGCATAAATGAATTGTGAAAATAAAGCTGTAAATAATGCAAAAATCTCTAAGTTACACTTAAAATGTAAACTAGAATCAGGCAATTTTGAATCTAATATTAGCTCTACTGTAAACACCTGAGTGAACCATGATATCCTGTAGACATTGAGTCCCCAAACCTAAATTTCAGCATAAATTATTTTAGTACTAACAATTGGTTTAACTATCCCTAGTTAATAATGTAAACATTTAGTTCAAAATTGCTTGTTATTAAAAATAAATAAATGTGAAGATTTTTTAAATGGCAAACACACACACACACACATATCAGGGACTAGATTACCGCAAGGTATAGTATTTTTTCTAACACAAAAATAACAAAGAAAACCAGAAATTAGAAACTTATCTATAGCAATTATGGAGAACTGCTTTTTAAAATATAAATTTATAAACTATTTTAATTATTAAAACACTCTCCATGGTTTTATCCAAGTTAGTTTTCTCTGACAACTGTACCAACTAGAGCTTCTAAGAATAGACTAACCTTGTTTGTTATTCATCAAAATAAAAACATCCACAGATACAACACTGTCAAATATAAGTAGCTGACATTAATAAAAGGAAGGAGGCACTTTTTAAACCTAATAAAGACCTGGTTGTACTTCAGTACTTAGTATAGGGGTATAAGTGGCCTGTGGTGATGAAATATATGTAAACTTTTGAAAAGAATAGACTTTTTCCGGCTTGTTTTACAAGTTATCACAAGACTGTTCACATTTAATACATGGATTCAGCTTCCAGCTAAGACTTTAAGAGGACATTTCCATTTTTAATCACACTATCTTAACACTCCTTATAGAAAGTATTTAGTGTTCAGGCCGGGTGTGGTGGCTCATGCTTGTCTGTAATCCCCTGCCTCTGGGAGGCAGAGAGGGGCAGATCATTTGAGGCCAGGAGTTCCCTGGCCAACGTGGCAAAACCCATGTCTATAAAAATTAGCCAGACATGGTGGCACATGCCTGTAGTCCCAGTTACTCAGGAGGCTGAGGCAGGTGAATCGCTTGAACCCAGGAGGCAGAGGTTGCAGTGAGCAGAGATTGTGCCACTGCACTCCGCTTGGGTAATGGAGTGAGACTCCATCTCAAAAAAAAAAAAAAAAAAAGGATTTAGTGTTCTGAGCTGGTTTTCTGAACACATTTTTTAAACTGTCTCTGGTTTTTAACACAGATTTTCAATTTACCATACTGAGATATTTGAGATGTCAAAGAACTATGAATTTAGTAATAAATTAGGTAGTTATTTGGATATAACATATCTAAAAAAACAAGATTAATTTTCAATAGTACAAGTGATATTAACAGTTACTTAGACTGTAAGCTTATTTCAATGTGCCACTGTGGCGCTTTGGGGTGGGGACATTTTAAAGCATGTATGTCCCAGGAGAAAAGGCAACTTAATTCTTTATAACTAACATATTCCTCCCTTAAACCTTATTATCCAATCTAACCACGCAGGTGATCTTTGACGATTTCTAACAAATACAACCTCAAAGGTCAAGAAATGTCCTGCCATATATTCAAGAGAACACAGCAGAACCTGAAGGTACAACAAGGTAAATAAATGGACTCTATCTACACCAAAATATATCTCTATACATAGATATATAAAATATAGAGAGCAAGATATGTTTAAAGATGTTACTTTACAACCAGGATTATTATTATTATTGTTTGTTGTGGTTGTTTGAGACACAGTCTCACACTGTTGCCCAGGCTGGAGACAGTGGCGTGATTTTGACTCACTGCAAACTCTGCCTCCCAGGTTTAAGTGATTCTCCTGCCTCAGCCTCCTGAGTAGCTCGGATTACAGACGTATGCCGTAACACCTGGCTAAAGACTTTGTATTTTTTAGTAGAGATGAGGTTTTATAATGTTGGCCAGGCTGGTCTTGAACTCCTCAGGTGATCTGCCCACCATGGCATCCCAAAGTGCTCAAATTACAGGCGTGAGCCACCACACCGAACCCAGGATAACTAATTAAATATATTCTTTAAATGATCTGTTCTTATGGGAAAATGCTTGTGTACGCTAATCTTAGGATGATTCTATAAATAGGCTATAAGCTTCCTTAAATTTCATCTATGTTTCACCTCAAAAACCAAATAAATAAAAAATATACTTGAGACACTAAATCACAATTTTTACACAGGAAAAGAAACAAGAAAAGTGATACGCATTTCCCACATCAATTCTTAGAAAACATAAAAACCAGTACTTCCAATTTTAGAAACATGCTATCAAAGCTGCAAGTAAGAAACATAGACAAAAGCAACAAAAAAGTCAAAGAGAATACTCCATAGAGGAACCCAACTCAGAACTGACTGCATATCCTCCTCACTCTTTGATTTACAACAGTGTAATCAACTTAGTGTAGAGCTTGTTCAATTTATAAATTCCATATTCCTTAATCTTTAACAAAATCACATAAAAATTTTGTTTTAACAAAGATCACAGAATACTCTTTGATAAAATTATCCAGAAACTAAACCCATCCTTACAATCAATGTTAGGCAAGCCTAATCCTGCTCCCTAATGGTGAATAAGCCCTGGTAAAAAATGAGAAAGTTGGGTCCAACTACAAAATAATCTACAATTTTGGTTGAACTAAATTCCATGTTTTAAATCAATTCAATGAAAACAGATCATCAGTTTTGTCCTTAAGTCACTCATATAACCACCCTATGG